AACGAGTGTGTAGCTTGTCGTCGTCGTAACCAATTAACCGCCAGGTAAACAGATTATGGCAACACTTCCAGAAGCCCGAGTCACACCAGGCGAACCTCCGTTTTCATCCGTGGGTATCGATTACGTTGGCTCTCTGAAAGTGAAATATAAAAGAGGAACTGTAAAACGTTACGGCTGCGTTTTCACCTGTTTAGCCATAAGAGCCATACACATCGAGATTGCTCACGACCTTTCAACGGATTCTTTCATTCAAGCGGTGTCCAGATTCGTCAGCAGACGTGGCCCACCTAAAGGAATGTTCAGCGACAATGGAACGAATTTCCGTGGAGCAGAAGCCGAAATTAAGCAGATGTTACAGAATCGGAATCAAATAAAGATCTTGGATCGCCTCAGGAAGCAAGGTATTCAATGGCATTTCTCTGCACCATACACAAGTCATACCGGCGGGGTATGGGAGCGAATGATCAGAACAGTTCGAAAGAATATGCGTGTCTTGTCGGTGATCGACTGGTTGACGACAAAACTCTACTAACTGTGATGTGTGAAGTCGAGAAAATGATTAACGATCGCCCTCACACGGCAATTATTATTTAAAGATATTAAACACGGTAGCCTTTCACTTGTGTGATTTTCAAAGGTCCGTGTGTTTAAAAAGAATTACAACATTCATAAGTAGTTAAAATATTACAACAATAACACATACAAGCTATTACAAAGTTTTATAATTATTATTAATCAAGCTACGAAAAGAAGAAATAGATCGAAGTTCGTCTACCCCTTATAGTTCAGAGGGCAGACCAGTCCATGCGACAGCCCCACGGTAGGAGAAGCTTCTTTTTAGAAAATCTGTTTTTGGCTTAGGAAGGCTCAATTTTAAATTGTTGCTCCGTAATGAATAATTAGAATTGTCACATTTACGAAACATTAATTAATTAGGCGCCATGTTTTTTTAGTACTTTAAACATCATTGTTAGATCTCGTTTGTCCATGAGATTTTTTATTGGATGCCACTGAAGGGTTTCAAAAAGTTGGGATGATCTAATAGTGTACATGTAGTCAGAACTATATAACCCGTGCAGCTCTCTTTTGTAATTTCCATAATTTGTTGATATGAGATTTGTTATTATCATTCCAAATAGTAGAGCAATAGTTAAAATGTGGTAAGACTAATGAGTTATAAATTGTTACTAATTATTCTTGTGAAGCAAAGTCTTTAGCTTTTCGTAAAAGGGCTATGCTTTTTGAGATTTTTACACTGTTCATCATTGTGTCTGTTCCATTTTAATTGGTCATCAATTATGAGTCCAAGAACAGTTTTTTCCCTTACCCTTTTTATCTGATGTTCGCCATATAGATTAGTATATTTGGAGTTTCGAGGATTTTATCTAACCTTTGTTGTGATTCAATAAGCATATACTCAGTTTTCGTAAGATTTAATGTTGACTTATTACTTACAGTATTAGCCATTTCTGAATATTGTCTAAGACGCAGTCTAATGTGACGACACTCGTGATTTGGCAGCTCTGACACCCAACAACACCTTACTCCTAAGTTATCGAAATCGAATTAGTTCGGCAAACGCCTCAGCGTCGACTCATAACTTTCGAGAGAAATGGAAGTTAGCGCACGAATTCTGGGCAAGATGGTTGAAAGAGTACAGTACCTGCCAAGCTTACAGGAGAAGCAGAAGTGGCTGTTTCCCAGAAGAAATTTAACCAAAGGAGATATTGTCTTGATGGTGAAGGAGGATTGTCCACGAGGTGAATGGCCTCTAGCAGTAGTTGAAGAGACGTGTATCCAGATAAGAATGGACACGTTAGACAAGTGTTGATTCGTGCAGCCAATCAGACTCAATATCGACGTGATGTTAGGACTTGTGCCTACTGGAGAAATCCGAATCGAAGTAAACGGGCCCAGCGGCGTAGCCAGCTTGGATAATTGGGGGGGGGTCCATATTCGTATATTCGTGTTCACAGACCTTGAAAACAATCGATTTCCAAAGAAATTAATAATGCGGAACACGAATATATGAATATGGACCCCCCCCCCCAATTATCGAGCTGGCTACACCGCTGAACGGGACTAAGTAAACGGGATTAAAGAAACTCTATTACGAACAGTTTATATATGTTGTTGATGTTAAGTTTATTCGTTCAATCTTACTTAATTATCGGACAAGCTTGGTGATGACGTTGTTTTGGAAGTCGTGAGAAGTACGACAATTGAAACAAGAGAAAACTTTACACTTGCGCAAGTGAATTTTGGTAATCGATAGTACTGCGTGGGTCTCGATCCTTTTTGATAATTTTTGAACGACAGTTTTGTAGGTCATTCGCGGCTGGTATATAGGATCGAGACGGTAATTACGGTAATTTATGATAATTTATTTTAAATGCCCGGATGAGTTAGGAGTAGTTGTTTTTATTCCATGTGCTTGGTCATACATATGTAGTTTGTAGTTTTTTGTACGTGGAAGTGGCCTAAACACGAGGTAAAACACTTGATTTCTGACTTTTTTGCTTGGGATAGGTATAGATGGTGACGAACCTTTAATTGTTTATTTTAGAACCATCATCGTTTAACGATTTTATATCATTCGTTCATTGACATTGTATAAATAAACATATTTGATCGATTGTGTGTTGTTTTTTGCGTCCGTTTGATGTGTCTCTCGTTGGTCAAATAAGCTGGGAATCGTTTATAGCTTATAACTACCATTTCGCACAAACGTTTCATTACTTTCATACCAAAAACGGCTGTTAAAGCTCGGTCTTCTACCTGCATGTAACTTACTGGCTTGAAATTCTGGACTTGATTCTATACTTCCGTACATTAAAAGGAGAAGCTTTTCCAGATAACAATGGCTTGGTCCAGATTAAACAACAAACTCGTTCTACCCGTCATAATAACACTCAGTCAGGTGTTCTCACAGAGACACTATCATAATACGTGATAGCGCGTGCGCGTGCACACGCACGGTCGGCGCTCCGTAAAATTATTTAAAATTTTGCATCAAAACTAAACGTTAAAGTTTCGACTTCATTGGAAAATAGTGCATAAGGATATTGTCTTGGGTATTAGATTGGCGTACTATTTTTGGTTGTCTACATCAAGAAAAAGCGTCAAATATCGCGGTTTTTGGTTTGAATCAGGCTATCAGCTGGAATCTCAAGTTTTGTCTCACGCAAACAAACGAACACGCGTCATCGCTCGCGCTATAACGGCTGCCAATTAAAAAAATCTCAATCAATATCGAAATTAATCAGAACAAATTTATATTAATTTCGTGGCGAAATGGTTGTTTTCAAACGTAAACCTAGTGGTGGTTCTTTAGACTCAGTGGTGGTTCGAAATTTCCGGAAATCGGTTGGAAAGTTTTCGTGCATGGTTTCCCTTTGGTTTTTCACTTTCACCATCATATGGATATTCACAAAACTCGACATGCGCCGTTCGGACTCATTGAATTCAGCGTGTCTTGACGAGAGAATGATTAGAACGATCGACAATAATCGTTTCACGTTGTTACCTGTTATGGTTTATCGTTATCACAAGATAAAGAAACGTGTTACTGCGCCGCTTCACTTTCCCCAATCCACCTGGAACATGCACGGTTAGTTTGTCTATCTCCACCTGACTTTGATCCTGACTTTGACATAACCATTCATATGGATGTCAAAATTAACCCTGGTCCTACCAAACATTCCTCGTTTCCAAGTCATGACCACCTTAAAAGCTTGTATCTAAACGCGAGAAGCTTGAAAGCTTTTGTACGTTCGAGTGAGGATCCATCCACTAAAGTGAGCAAGATTTCTCTGCTTCAAGACCTGGTCTATTCTGGGGACTATGATCTTGTCTGCATTTGTGAAACCTAAAAAACCTTAAATAATACGGTGTTCAGTAGTGAATTGTTAACCGGGTATTCCATTTTTCGTAAAGACAGGACTGGTCAAACTGGTGGCGGAGTACTTGTAGCTGTTAAAAATGAATTCAAAGTATCACGACGTAAAGATCTTGAAAGGGAAAGAACAGAAATGGTGATGGTTGAACTTGTCACTAATGGTAAACCATTATTATTGTACATTTTCTACCGTCCTCTAGGATCAACTTCAGAAATTCTTTTTCAACTGAACTCCTCTCTAAAGAGTACTCGCGAATCAAGCCGTTTAGTAGTGGTTGGCGATTTCGACATTCCTTCAGTGAATTGGTCAATATAGACGAATCTGCACCCATTAACACAGGTGGACACGCGGCAGGAGAAAATTTGTGTGATGTGGTAGGGGATAACTTTCTGCATCAATTTATTAAAGGTCGTACACACATCAATGGAAACAAGCTTGACTTATTGTTATCTAACTGTCCAGAAATTGTCGAAAATGTTACCACTTTTACTCCTGGACAAGTGTTTCCAACTGATCACCATGCTGTTGAATTTTGAATTAAATTAAAAATTAAACAATGCGAGCCAGTGCCACGTAAAGTGTTCGACTTTAATATAGGTAACTTCGATGAACTTCGCAGTTCCCTTCTGCGCATATTACCTGACTTCGCTATGTCAACGGACAGTATCGATGATTGCTGGCTGAAATAGAAAAAATTGTTTCTTGACGCTGTGGGTAAATTTGTTCCAACAAGGACCATCAAAGACAAAAAATCTCCGCCTTGGATTGACGGAGAAGTTCGCCATTTCATAAGAAAGAAATACGATGCTTTGAGAAAATTTCGGAAAGACAGATCTGATATCCGCAAACAAAACCTGCGCGAACTAAGTCAAAAAGTGAAATATTTGATAAGGGCAAAGCACCGCGAGTATCTCAAGAAAATCGAAGGTTCTTTCAAGGACAACCCAAAATTATTTTGGAGTTACCACAAGGCTATCTTACACCACCATGGAAAGTCAACTTCGAAAATCACACATATAATGGCAAAACAGCAACTACACCAGCTGGTAAGGCAGAACTGTTCAATTCATATTTCTCTTCTGTATTTCGTCCTCCCTCTTCGCAACAAGATATCGACAATAGAAATTTACTAGATTATCCTCCACCCGAAGTACTGTTATCCGAACTCACTGTGACAGTCGAAGATGTTACAAATTATCTCAATGCTTTGGACATCACGAAAGCAAGTGGGCCTGACGAAATCCCTGCTCGTCTCCTTAAAACTTGTAGCAATGAAATCGCGCCAAGCCTCTGCTCCCTCTTCAACCGATCGCTTGAAACAGCTCGTTTACCGTCGGAATGGAAAATGGCCAATATAACTTCAGTGCACAAAAAGGATTCCCTTGAACCAACCATCAACTACAGACCTGCTGTACATAATAAGCAAAGTTCTAGAACGTCTTGTTGGGAACGGTCTGCGTGCTCAGGTAAAACATCTCATCACAACCCTGCAACATGGTTTTCAACGCAACCGCTCATGTGCCACCCAACTGCTTGCAGTCGTCCATGAAATTGGGAAGAATCTGGACCAAAATGTTCAAACTGATGTACTGTACTTAGACTTTGCGAAGGCTTTTGATACCGTAGACCACCAGATCCTTTTAATTAAAAAAACTTAAACGTTTTGGTGTAATAGACCGCATGCATGATTGGTTCAAAGATTATTTGCATCAACGATTCCAACGAGTTGTTGTAGACGGTGCAATCTCCGACTGGGTAAGGCCTGCTCTGGGACCTTAACTCGCCGCGAGATAAGGCGAGCCTATGCGAGTTAAGGCGAGATAGGGCGAGTTAAGGAAAAATCTGGCTACTGACCATTGCGAGATAAGGCGAGTTAAGGAAAAATCTGGATATTGTATACACACTATGTATTTTGCTTTGTTTGTGCATTATGCAAAGCAAGTATGCTGTACTTGAAGTAGCAGGCCTAGAAAAGTGTTTTATTCTATATTCTACAATACATACATGATATGCACAATAACTCGGGACCTGGAAACAAGTTGCATCAAAACGAGGCTGGTAGCTAGATGCCAAATTGTATAATTTGAGGCATTATGCATAGTGTGTATAGAACTGCATTGTTTCCTAAATCTTCACAGTATCAGTTGCTAACTTGCTATGACTAGCTTCACCACATATTTTGTAATTTTTAGCTGTTTTCATGAATCATGACATTATCAATTAGGTTCGAATTTGTTTGCAAGCAGCAGTCCTTGTATTCAATTTTTAATTTAATATAAACATTGATATGAAACAAAGAGAAACTAAAAAGCTTGCTAGGAAATTATAGATTATTTACTATTAAATTTAGGACTTTAATAACTATTTTAATTTAACGAAATTTCGAACCACAATGGCATATTAAATGATAACCAACGGTCATAACACTAAAATTAATGCCCAACTTACTTGCTTTAGAAACGTAACTGAATGTAAATGACAATGATTCCTCTGTATAAACTGTATTATTGTTTAATATATTCGTATTTCCTATCAAGCCTCTGCTATCAAGCTTTTATATTCAGAATTCACTGCCTCTCATTAACACTAACACTAAGTATTGCAAGCAGATTGTAATTTTTCCGCTGAAGGGAGCAATATTTTCAATATCTGTTCCCAGACAGCATCCCGCCCCCCTGGTAAACGGAATCTTCCTTCCCATCATCGCGGTATTTCCTCTGTGGTCGGGGGAGTCTACGCAGTCTATAAGTCAGAATTATTCGATTCCGCAAACGCAATATGGCGGGATATACATCGACATTTTAAAGTTTTTTATCATGTTATTCATGTATTAATTATGATATTAAAATGAGATTCAAAAAGCCTTGTCATTACAGATTGTTTCTACTAAATTTAATGTTGGTCACAGACAGGCAAGCACGGTATGCTTACTACAATATTCACCTTTAACTTTGCTTTTACTGTAAATCTATATTTTCACGAATTTTGTGAATGTGATTGTGTATTAAAATATTTCTCCTAAAATTCTGCAAGTATCGTTGGTTCAGTAGCTCTGTTGCCGGTTGTATATAAAACAGTTCAACGAGTTTGAGCTGTTGATATCACAGAGACCTTTATACTTTAACTGTGGTATATTAAACAGTATTTTAGTAAAATTTGATAGTCATGTGATAGCTGCATAAAAGTTAAGCAAGTACTTTTGATGTTTTGATATCATAGTATAGTTGAAATAGAATAGATAAGTGATCTGTATATTAGTATATATGGGAATATTAATTTTCAACCATACTTGGCAGTTTGGGTTTTGTTATTATGTTCAATTATTTTCACTGTGATTTATTAAATACTGGGTATTACTGTAGTATGCCTGCTAAGGCCTGCTTACTGTATTAAAGTAGAGTAGTTGGTGGAATTATTTGATCAATACAGCTTTATAGCATTACAGAGAATGTAGTAAATTAAAAATATGATAACATTTCAGATAATCAGGCTTACATACTTGTATGTTGATGTCAGTTGCAATGCCAAACTCATAGAATATATAAGTGAGTATTGTGAGTCTAAAGAATTTTGATTGACAGTATTTGTGTTTTACTGACATGAAACTGTGCCGGTTCTTATTGCAAAATAGGGCGAGTTTAGGCGAGTTAAGCAAAATTCTGTCGGCTTCTCATCGCGAGATAAGGCAAGATTGGGCGAGTTGAGCAAAATTCGATCAATTTATATTGCGAGATAGGGGGAGATAAGGCGAGTTAGGGCGAGTTAAGGTCCCAGAGTAGGCCTAATATTTTATACAGTGATTCAAAGAAATGTTTTTGGATATACATGTACTGTACATGTATATGTTATTGATCTATTGTTGAATGTCACTTATATATTATAAAGTGCCAATGGTTGGAATATTTATTCATTGATATTTTAAACACAGATGAAGTGTTATATGCTCTTTCCTTGTTTACTACGTTTTCCTTGCAGCCAAATGTTGTTGAAGCTGGCAAGCTGCAAAACTGACATATGAGTAATATGACCAAAGCATTGGATATGCATCTTAGTTTGCTTCCAGTAAAATGTAAACAAGACCTTAAGAATTCTATATGAGATAAGAAATATTACGTTTAAAATCATGACTGGCAAATTAGCATGTGCGAATTGATGCTTCCTAATAATAGTATGTACTCCAGTAAAGCTTTTATTTTTTAAAGCACATGATCAGTGGAGAGTTGATTTGAATTTTTTGTCCCAGGGGATAAAGGTAGGGAATAGATTTTCCTTAACAAAAGGGGCAAGGTGCCCAACCAGTTAGTCAAGATGACATGTACTTTAAGTGACCATTCATTATGCCCTAGGGTGGGGTGGGAGATTCTTATGTCAACTTGTCATGGGACCCCTTTTTAATCTTTTAATTTAATAATGGAGACCCCTGCTAAATATTTAAGACTATATAACATGATGCAATTCTAATCTTCATTCATGTGAATGCCTGACTATGAAGAAAATACATTTTGCAACACAGGGATGGATCCAGCATGATCTGATAGGGGGGGGGGGGGGTTCCCTGAAAAGCATTTAACATTGAAAGCATTTAACATTGAAAGCATTTAACCTCAACACAGAAATCACTGACTTGGAATCAATCACAACTGAACTTATTCAACCTATTACCAAACGTCTTAAAGAAAATTACCTCACATTTTGGAAACACAAACTTGAAAATTCTTCGAAACTAACCTTTTATTCAACCATCAAGATAGATTACGAACTAGAAAAGTACTTATCTATAATAAAAGACTCAAACAAAAGGAAAACCTTAACACGATTCAGATTAAGTAACCATAGCCTTCAGATTGAAACTGGTAGATACCATAATATAGCCCGAGAAGAACGACTGTGTAACCTTTGTCACTCGCGAGAAGTCGAAAATGAATCTCACCTCCTCCTCACTTGCGAGGCTTACGGTGACACTCGAGTAAACTTTATAAACAGTCTAAAAAACGATCTCACTACTACTGAAACAAACTTAAACGAACCAACTTTATCAGTTGACATAATGAAGTCAACTGCTAGTAACACCATCCTGAAATTATCGAAATTTATTTTTTCGTGTTTTGAGGAAAGACTTAAACAACTTGAAGCCGGGAATGCTGGTAGTCATTAGTTAAACTTTCCATCCTGTAAATAGTATCTTCTTACAGTCTACTTCTTAAATATTTTCATATGTTACATTGTTACGTTATAGTTAAGCTTTAGCAATACCTGTAAAATATGGTCATGCTAATAAAGCGATTATCAATCTAATCAATCTGGTGCCGAGTTGTGTTGGTCATGTGTGCCGCCCGCCCATCAACTTGCTTCACTACTGCAAAGTCTTGCTTTACTACTGTATTTGAATTGTTGTTCACAGATCGCTTATCATGTTATTGCTCAAATTACTGCATCTCGTTTTGCCTGTAATAATATTTTGCTTTATCATGAAAAATAGCATCCCCTCTGGCCAGGGCTAAGGGGGTGCACCCCCCCCCCCAGTAATTCCATCCCTGTTGCAACATACACTATAAGAGCTAGAATGATTGCTTCCTTTGGATGATTTGTCTTAGAATTATATTACCTATATTACAACAATTCTTCCTATTCTAAAACCAGTTGCTATTCTGATTTTTACAACACTCACCCCCC